GGAGGTCCAATGTTTTTAAATTCAATCAATTCTAGTGGAATCGTAAAAGATGGTGAATATATTGCTAACTTATTTATTGAAGCAATAGAAAATGTAGGTTCAAACAATGTTGTTCAAGTTATTACGGATAATGCAAGTAATATGAAACTTGCCGGTACTATTGTGGAGCAAAAATATCCTCATATATTTTGGACTCCTTGTGTTGTTCATTGTTTGAATCTAGCTTTGAAAAGTATGTGCCAACCTTCGGAAAAATCACCTCACTTTACTAATTGTAAATGGATTTTAGAGTTACTTAGTGAAGTGAGTAATTTGAAGAACTTTGTTGTGAACCATGACTTGGCACATGCACTTTTTCAAAAATATTCGGATTTGTGTTTGTTGAAGGTTGGTGAAACAAGATTTGCCTCACACATCATTATGACCACCCGAATTCGTAAAGTGACCTTCTTTGGAGAAAATGGTCATGGATGATGAATGGAAGAATTATAAGGGGGATAAGGGAATTGAAGCCAAAACACGGGAAATAAAATCCCTTATAATGAATGATGAAAAATGGGATAGTATTGATTATTTCTTGAAATTTACGGAACCAATTGTTGATATGCTAAGAAGTGCCGATATTGATGGTCCAAAATTACATCTCATCTATGATATGTGGGACTCAATGATTGAGAAGGTCAAGAAAGTCATCTTTGAGCATGAGGGGAAAGATCTCATTTCCGGTCAATCAAATTTTTTTGATACTATTCATGATATTCTTGTGGCTAGGTGGAACAAAAGTAACACACCTCTACATTGTATGGCACATTCTTTGGTTCCCAAATATTATCATGAATCATGGCTTCAAGGAGAGAATGGAATTCGAAAGCTAGCTCCTAATGAAGATAGTGAAATTTCATTGAATAGAGTCAAGTGCTTTCAAAGGTACTTTAAAGATTCTAATGAAATGAAACAAGTCTCATTGGAGTATGGATCCTTTTGTAGCGGAAGTGGCTATTTTAGTGAGCCTCATGTGATTGAGGCTATGATGTATGAAGATTCTCTTTCTTGGTGGGCAAATCATGGGGTCTCGGCTCCACTTTTGCAACAATTAGCTTACAAGTTGCTTACTCAACCGGCTTCTTCCTCTTGTTGTGAAAGAAATTGGAGTACATATTCTTTGATTCACAATATCAAGAGAAATAAGTTAGCAACTTCAAGAGCCGAAGATTTAGTGTTTGTACATTATAATCTCCGGTTGTTGTCTCGCAAGAAAGAGAAATATATAAATGGGCCAAGCAAATATTGGGATGTTGGTATGTCTATATTTTCTTTATTATTTTCTTCAATTATTTAGTTTAAATGATGTTTTTTTTTCTTTTTATATAAAATCTTCTAATATATTTATTCTTTTTAATTTATTTTAGGTGGAGATCGATTTGATATTGATGAGACAACTAATGATCTAACCGAGCTTTCAATAGATGAACCTCAAATTGAAGGTGTGATATTTGAGGAAGAGTTTGAAGATTTGGAAGAAGTTGAAGAAGATGTAGAAGATGTGGAAGAGATAGCTAACTTAATTAAATAACTTGATAATTGACAATATTTTGTTGTTATGTTAATTTTAAGTTATGGATTAAGTTGAGACAATCTCTTGATTTTTGTTAAATAGTATGTTTTACACTTTTACTTGGTGTATTGAAAATTGATTAGTAATTATGAATATCTAAATTGTGGATAATGATCTTGTGTATATCTTAAATTTTAATAATTGCAGTATTTTTACTTTCACTTTGTTTCAAGAGACGAGTTACTATCCATGTTCTAGGTTAGTTCTTCTTTTCAATTTTTATTGATTCTTTTAGTTATATTTATTCTATTGTAATTTGTAAATGCTTTTAATGTTTAGTTTCTATTTTGTTGTGTCTTTGTAGGAAGAATGGAAGAGTAATCTCATCTTGAAGAATGGAAGATTGAATTTTACAAAATACATGTAAGTTTATCACAACATATCTTTCAAATTTAGAATATCTTCATAACTATATTTTTATAATATTGAAATTTTTTAGCCTTATCCCCGCACCCGTATCCATACTCGGATTCGCACCCACGAATCTTAAAATTTGGATTTTGCCGAATCCAACTCTCGGATTCGCATCCGTCTCGGATACCCGCACCCGAGTCCGAGCAACTTAGGTCAGCGGTTGGATTGTCAAACAGTTATATCCCAAGTTTGAGAAAATTATACCGGTCTATGCATGTGCCAGTGCCTCGACCCCTTCCTTTGTTGACAGAGCTTATGAATGCTACTAAGCGTGCTAGGAGAAGGCTGTAAGTTCTGCTTTTTCCTGGCATCGTTTCTTTATTAGTTTCTTCATTTCATTCCACCCTCACCACTTTCAGATATTGATACCAAGTACATCATTGTTTACAGAAAAAAATATAGATAACTTATACTCCATACACCTACTCTCTATCTAAACAATGGGTCTCTGCAGGTTGTACCAACAGAAGATTAAATGGAAATGTTCCTACATTACCATCTTCATTCTCTTTGTTGTGCTTATATATAGTGAATACAATTTTGTGTATAGTAATACATGTACAGTAAGTACAATGCTAAACTTATTTGGTAGACATAGAACCACCAACTTGTGTAAGGAGCCTTATGCCTGCTGATTCAACTCATTGCTAAAATCTCCCTACTACTTTTGCAGGTGAACTGTTCTGTTTTGGCTTGGCTAAATGCTTTTGTGAATAAGTCATGAGTTAATACCTCAGATGGTCACTCAACTATCCACTTTTGCCTCAGAAAGACACTCAGCTTTTAATTTTCACTAAAAAGTCACCATGTGAGTGACTTTCTGAGGAAAGACTGGATAGTTGAGTGACCATCTGAGGTATTAACCCAATAAGTCATCTGTCTTTTCTTACATTTGTGAAAAAACATGACAAATATCTATGACAGATCAAGGAATTATAAATGATAAATTGCAAGAATATCACACTCGAATTACTTCAGTGGGTTGGAAAAGAAATTTAGCCCATGAAAATCATTAGCCATCCAGAAAACATATTACTGTCTCTAGTCTTTATTCAGAATCTTTCAGAAGTTTAGCCCATGAAAATCTTATGTTCTCCTGTCCTGATAATACCAGTGCCAAGTTGCAGATGATCAACGTGCTGGCTAAAATGACTTACAGGTTTGCAAACATTTCGAATTATATAAAGGGCAAGCTGAAATAACAGAAAGAACTTTCCTCGTTAGAAACCGAAAGCAATAAAATTGCATATGCTCTCCAAGTCATTTTACTACATGTGGTTTCCTTAAGCAGGCTGAAACTAATAAGCCACAACTTCTGACTCTATCCGAGAGTTTGGAAGAGTATTTATCTTCTATGGTCTATCATGGGCTGTACTCTATACCATATGCTCACAATCACCTTCATTTTCACTCTTCATTATTTCCTAAAGTTCATTCGATTTAGAGGTGTTTTTGAACTACACTTATCTGTCTACAAAAGTGAGAAAGCCAAACTGTGAAGAGATACTTCAGGGAATGTTTTGGAGTGGATAGTTGAGTGACCATCTGAGGTATTAACCCAATAAGTCATCTGTCTTTTCTTACATTTGTGAAAAAACATGACAAATATCTATGACAGATCAAGGAATTATAAATGATAAATTGCAAGAATATCACACTCGAATTACTTCAGTGGGTTGGAAAAGAAATTTAGCCCATGAAAATCATTAGCCATCCAGAAAACATATTACTGTCTCTAGTCTTTATTCAGAATCTTTCAGAAGTTTAGCCCATGAAAATCTTATGTTCTCCTGTCCTGATAATACCAGTGCCAAGTTGCAGATGATCAACGTGCTGGCTAAAATGACTTACAGGTTTGCAAACATTTCGAATTATATAAAGGGCAAGCTGAAATAACAGAAAGAACTTTCCTCGTTAGAAACCGAAAGCAATAAAATTGCATATGCTCTCCAAGTCATTTTACTACATGTGGTTTCCTTAAGCAGGCTGAAACTAATAAGCCACAACTTCTGACTCTATCCGAGAGTTTGGAAGAGTATTTATCTTCTATGGTCTATCATGGGCTGTACTCTATACCATATGCTCACAATCACCTTCATTTTCACTCTTCATTATTTCCTAAAGTTCATTCGATTTAGAGGTGTTTTTGAACTACACTTATCTGTCTACAAAAGTGAGAAAGCCAAACTGTGAAGAGATACTTCAGGGAATGTTTTGGAGGTGTGGTAGATAGATTGGTTGGAGGTCTCTAAAAGAGGTTTTAATCTCATCTAGGACTTCCAAAACTCTCCCAATATATCCATAGAAAAAAGTTGCTAGGCATTTTTATTTTTTCCTATTTTGACTTCTATGAAGTTTCGTTCTTTGCTATGAAGAATTGAAAGGTCCGAATGATCAACTCTGCAATCAGTTGTTAGAATCACATTCACGCCCTTTAGAGTTAAGGAATGATGGTTAAGAGTTCTTGCTTTTGAGTTCCCACTCTGACTATTTAGAAGGCTATATATAATAATACCTTAATGAATTGAAGCGGATAAAGCTCAACATTTCTCTAATTTGAATCGAAAGTTGCTTTTGACTCCTCCGCCTTGAGTGAGCTGGAGCGCAGCCATCTTATCCACTGAACTAGCTAGAAGCTATCGCTTCGGGTCGAAGCACTAAAAGAAAAGGACCGGGAAACGCGGCGGCATAGGAACCTTTCATCAGAAATATGATGCATTTTCTTGAACCTTTTACCTTCAGCAATATTATTTGAGTGAAATTTTGACAGCTAGCTACTACTTTCTTAGTATTACTGCAAGGAAATTTGTCATCATTTATCTTAAGCAACCTTTCGTGCTAGGCAATGGAATGATGGTAGTAGAGTAGTCGATCTGATCTCACAAGCTAGGTGAATAACACTACTTTTAACCACATTGTGGGCCGTGACTCGTGATTGAGTATTTCAGTCCATGAACTAGAGGTGAATATGGTTCACTAAGAATATTTCTTAAAATAAGTTGATAAAGATGAAGACTAAGCACGTGATGGATCCTGATTGTTGGATAAAAGTGGTCAGCAGCAGCTTAGGTCACTAGAATTCTATTGTAAGAGGATATTAACAATAACTTACAGGTTTGCAAACATTTCGAAGAGACGAGCAATTCCAATTTTTTATTTGATGTCAATGCTAATGTCTCTTTACACTTATTTTTGTATTTTTTTTATCATTCTTTCAAACATCCTTCATTGCCTTATTCAATTTCCTTCTTAGCTTCCAATCATCAATATACTATTAGAAAAAGAAAAGATTAGGCATTGAGAACACTAATTATAGAGTTGTATGGACCGTCCTTAAATGAGTGAAAATCTACCATTTATCAACACCCCAACTTAAATTTTTTGTTGTCCTCAAGTAAATTAACAACACAATGAACTCAACAAGGGTGTCTACAAATGTACTCAATGAGAGCTAACATGCATATGCGATAGAAAGATTACTCTCAATAGCATGCTACCCTCAATCATGGTTAAAAAGCTTCGAATGATGATTATCTAGTCTCAACACAAGCTCAAGCTCACTTTATCTTCTTTTTTAGTGTAAGATCATGTTTCAACAAATAAATTTAAGTGACTTCACATCAAGAACGACTCCATGCTCTCGCAAAACAAATCAACAAAGGTAAAAGGAATTAATGCAATTCTCACTCTCTCAAAAGAGAAGCACATGCAAGCTTTGTCCCATAGGTTTACCCATATTTTTAATCATCACAAAACCTGGTTCTTGCAAGATCTCAAGGGTCTTTTAGGCTTGTAATGGGGCTGAGGGTGAAGACATATTCAATTTGGATTAGTGGCTTATACCCTTTTCAAAGCATTGTTGCAATCATCATTACCTATTCTCACGTTCTTTTCTTCTTTTCCCATTTTGAGAACTCAAACTTTTACTCTTCACTTAATTTATTTGGAATCCCCTTTTTTTCATTCACTTCTCTGTTTCATTCACAATTTCCCAAGGAATTTTCATCACATCTTTTTAATAAGGAGGGGTTCCTTCTTTTTACAAAACTTTCAGATTTGAGTCTAATTTCATCTTTCTTTGCCCTTCACTTGACTTTCGTTCATCCTTCCTTTCCACACCACCAATTAAGGCTTTTGGCTTATGTTGGCTATTAAATCATTACAATGCTTCAAAAAGGATAATTTTGTGAGAAGGTAGGGATAATTTGGTTCAACACGCTTCTTTTGGTTGTCAACAAATAAGTTAGGAGAAAGTTGTGCCAACATGAATTCACACCCTCACAAGGTAGTCACAAAGGCTTGATGGACCATTTGGTTCCCTCATTAAAATTTTGCCCAAGATTGTGTCTAACATTCACCAAGATTCACACAACTAGACTAACATGGAAAATTCTAGGACTCCACATGCATTCTTTCAAGTAAAACCTCACAACACATGGCACTTTGAAATACATCTATTTAGCACATCCCAAAAAATCAAAAGTGTATGTGCAATGTTCATTGCAAGGCTCACATCAAAACGTAGCTAGTCAACAAGAAATTCAAAGGGATTGCTCAATGGTTTAACTACATTGATTTCATTCTCGCTATCCCAACACCATGCATCATGCTCATCATGAGGACTATTCAAGATATAGATACTAAACACAATCGGTCCTCAATTTTTTATCAATGAAAACTCATGGGGGGAGGGGGTTGGAACATCAAGAGAGAAAACTTCAAAAGAGCATTCTAATACTTAAACTAACTATAGTAAAAATGGGCTATTAGCTGGGCCCATTTAGAAATGTGCCTCACCCCACAGAAAAAGTTAAAAGCGATGTCCTCAATATGTAGAAATGTTATACGGAGATGTAGGTAGAAGCACTCCCAAACAATCATTGATCGGCAGATCATCAAGTTGAATCGGATCTCCTATGGGATTGTATACTACGTCAATGTAGACTTTAATTTGCGCGAGCTACTCCATGATCACCTAATGAGCATGTGTGGATTGCCTTATCATTCATGACTATCACCGAAAGTACCAGTGAGCTACCCGTGTTTTGGGCCTAATTATACGGACTGTAGCGGGTTCACCCAATGGAATGGGTGAATCACCTAGTAGGTCATGAGAATCAACGATGTAGACAAAAAGAACCTAAAGTTGAGCCCCCCCTTGGGCGAGCTCTTTGGAGCTTCAGTTACTGTACTCGGTGGATCACTAATATGCTCCTACAGTCGTTTATTACACAACACCTGCACATGTGAACACCCACGTTATTAAAAACAACTATCACTTGGGTTGCCTCTCAAGAAGCGCCTAATTTAATGTCGCGACACGACGTAGATAGGTTCTTCAAACACCATCCAAATACACCATTTAAAAAACCCACACATTTTGACTTTCTCCAAAGTAAGCCTTCAACCGTTGTCCATAAATCTTGAACGTTACCCCTTTGCATCTTCAATTTCAATAGTCCCATTGCCATACACGTGGGTGACAGTATGCAGACAAGTCAACCATGACTTGACCTTACCTGGGAATAACTTCAACCTTGAATTGAAAAATAGGACTGATTCCCCCACTTGAAACTCACGAATTAGTATCTTAGCATCATGCCACAGCTTAACGTTTTCCTTGTATAAAACTAAGCTTTTGTAGGCTTTCAAACAGAATTCATCTAACTCAAGGATTTGGTGTACACGACCTGTAGAAGCAATGTCCCAATTAAGATTTATCTTCTTCAATGCCCACAAAGGTTTGCGTTTCAATTCCACCGGAAGATGACAAGCTTTACCAAACACTAACTTATAAGGGGACAATCCAATGGGAGATTTAAATGTTTTACGGTAGGTCCAAAGATCATCATCAAGCTTGCTAGAATAATAAGTACAATGAACATTCACAGTTTTGGCAACAATGCTCTTTATTTCTCGATTAGACACTTCAACTTGTCCCCTCGATTGTGGATGGTATGACATTTATACTTTTTGCTTGACCCCATATATTGAGAGGAGGGCGGCAAATTGAGGATTGCAAAAATGTGACCCTCCATCACTTATGATGGCCTGTGGGGGTACCAATCACTGTGAAGATATTCTTTTTGAGGAAATTTGTGACACTTTACACTTCATTGGTTTGCAAGGATATCGCTTCCACCTACTTAGAGACATAATCCATGGCTACAAGGTTGTACTTATCCCCAAAAGAGCTAGGAAAAGGATTCATCAAATCAATACTCCAAACATCAAACAATTCAATTTCAAGGATTTGTGAAAGTGGCAATTAATTTCTTCTAGATGTACTTCCCTGCAATTGATATTGGACACAACATTTGAAAAATACATGAGCATACCTTAACATAGTCGGCCAATAGTAGCCACATTATAAGAGCTTAAAGGTTGTATGAATTCCCCATGATGAACTCCTACTGGCGAGGCATGACATGCTTCAAGGATCTCATTCATTTCCACTTTCGGTACACAACGCCGAATAATATTATCAGCACATTCTCTAAGAAGAAATGGTTCACCCCACATGTACTTTGTCACACCCCGAGGCTACCCTCTAGACGTAAACATGGAACCTAGGATCACAAGTGATCCCAAGCTAACCTTGAACTGACATATCATAAGCATACTTAAAGATTTACTGAAAATAGAAATATTGTGCGGAAGCTTAAGCATGATATAAAGTGAAATGATGAGGAATGCTCATTCTAAATCTGAATATATAAAAGATTGAGAGATCAATAATAACTGAATGATCAAACTCAAACTAAAACTGAAGCGAACTATGTCTAAAATAAACCTCTAACTGACTAGTGATACTGGGACATTCCCCTAGCTAACTCTAGCAAAACTAAAACTAAAACAAAGAAAGACTGAATAGAAGACATGAAAATCCTCCTCGAAGAATGTGAACTCACCACTGATACTGCTGAACTAGAAATCGGAAACTGATCTATGCGTGATGGAAATGCTGAGGACTTGAACCTACATCACGAAAAGATGTAGAGTAAAGTATGCGTCAATACTTGAAAGAGACTAAGCATGCAGGATTGGATAAAGCTGAACAATATATACATAACTGAACAAATAAATAAGAGCAATGATATAATCTGAACTGAATTGAAATACTGAGCTAACTGAAAGCAATCACAAAGTACATAACATGCTGAGACTGAATACTAAATTGTAACTGGTAATCTTCTCAATGCACTAGAGTTTGACTGTGGGAGATACTATTAACCAACATAAAACCACGAGAGCTATCCGTGGAGTCCAATGTATATGCCCCATCGAGAGGACCCAATATACCTTGCCAGGGGTATAAAGGCATGACTGGCGTGATCACTAAATATTATGCCCACAGAGGGGACTTATCCTACGGGGACACGTAGTTCTGGAACTATGAGGGTGACTGACCCTAGTCCACTCGGTGTTAAGCCTATTCCCAACTGAATATGTAAGTAATACTTAATAGCTCAAAATACTGACATGCTAACTTAAAATGCAACATTAATGTATTGATAATGAAACATTCTTAACTGTGACCTGTATATCTGAATAAACTGACCTAGCAAGTGTAATTCATGAACTAAACGAATCTACACAACTAGGATTCTGATGTTCATGCAAGAAGCTAAGCAACAATTCCTCAAAACATGATGATCTGATTAGGATTAGTCTAACAATTGAATTACAACACTTTTCTAAAGTTCAAGAAACCCTAGCTCTAAACATGATATAGATAATCAAGAATCTAACTGAATTCTAGAGACCTAATGGATTCTAGAGACCTAATGGATGAAAGGAACCCACTAGTGAAATTCCACGTACCTAGTGACGAATTTCATTGAGAAATCTTTCGATTTTGAGGCTGGAACTGGAGGAAACCTTGCTGCGTTCTTGGAGAGGGTTGGTCGACTTTTTCTTCTCCTTTTCGTTCAAATTGGATGAATTTTGGAGAATGAATTTACTAGGGTAAGTTCTAATTTAGTTGCTAGGCTAAAGATGACCAAAACAACATAGTTTAGGGGTTAAAAGACGTAGTTTAGGTGCCCAACACATAAGGGAAAAGAGCAAACAACCCTCACTAAAAATCTGCCGAAGCCACCGACGGACCACGGATTGACCGACGTCCGTCCTGGCAGGGCGTCATTTGGCTTCAGATATATGGAATGTGGGGGTCTGAACCATGGAGTGGATGACAGACCGTGGTCCCACCTACGGTTTGTAGGTCCTGGCGTAGGTCCAAACTTTGGCTAAATTTTTCCTTGGTTCTGGGAGGGAGCTGCAGGTGACCATCCACGAACCCCACCTACAGTCTTTGGTTCAACCTACGGTCCGTTGGTGGCACCTGCAACTTCTGAAATTTGTATTTCTGGCCTGTCTAGAATACGGGGTGTTACATATTTCTTCACATCAAATAGGAATTTCCTCTTTTGATGGTTACTTTAATCATTAGGTGATATTCCACACACAATAAAATTAGAAAAATCAGCATACCAAGGAGCAGAAGGTGCAAAGATTACCTTTACAGATTCATCCAAAAAAGCATCATCAATGTCTTTCTCTTCAACAATTCTAGTTTCTGCGCGCCTCCATCTCGGAAAGATGGTCAGCTACTTGGTTCTCACACACGTTTCTATCTTTCACCTCGAAGTCAAATTCTTTAAGAAGTAATACCCATTAGATCAGCCTTGGCTTAGATTCTTTCTTTGCCATTAGGTACCTTAAGGGTTTATGGTATGTGTTAACCAACACTCTGGTACCTAGAAAATATGCACGAAACTTCTCAAACACACATACCATGGCCAACAACTGTTTTTACATTATGGTGTAATTATTTTGAGCACAGTTTACCAATTTACTAGCATAATGATGGGATTAAAGAACTTGTTTTTCCGCTGCCCAAGAACTGCTAGAGCCAAGCCACTAGCATCGCACATCATTTAAAAAAGGAGATTCCAATCGGGAGAAATGATTATTAGGGCTCAAATAAGTTTCTCCTTGAGCATTTTAAAAGCCATCATGCAGGATTCATCAAAGACGAAAGTGCTCTCTTTTTCAAGAAGTCTACACAATGGAATGGCGATCTTGGAGAAATCTTTAATAAATCATCTATAGAACCCAACATGACCAAGAAAACTCCTGGAGCCTTTTACTGAAATCAGGGGGAGGTATATTTTGATCACTTGAATTTTTTCTTGATCAACTTCAATACCTTCCCCAAAAAATTTGTGCACAAGTAGAATTCCCTCTTTCACCATAAAGTGACACTTCTCCCAGTTGAGGACAAAATTCGAATCCACACACCTTCTCAACACCATTTCCAAATGCTTTAAATATTCCTCGAAAGAATCCCCACAACAGAGAAATCATCCCTGAACAACTCCATAGAGTCTTCTACCATATTTGCAAAGATTGATAGCATACAACATTGAAATGTAGTTAGGGAATTGCATAGTCCAAATGACATTTGCTTGAATGTGAAAATGCCATAGGGGCATGTAAACATTGTCGTTTCTTGGTCTTTAGGTCCAATGGGGATTTGGTTGTTCCCGAAATATCCATCAAGAATGCAATACCACCTTTTTTCGGCAAGCCTACCAAGCATCTGATCAATAAAGGGCATGGAGAAATGAGGTGACAAGTCTAGTGGCAACAAATTCAGCCTTGTCATTGGGAACTACCGTGATACCACCTTTTTTTGGAACACATTGCACCAGACTCACCCATTAGCTATCAACAATCGGGAAAATGATTCCTACATCTAACCATTTTATGATTTCTTTCTTTACAACTTCTTCCTCGGAGGATTTAATCTCCATTGATGTTCAATACTTGGTATACAATCTTCTACCAAGTTTATTTTGTGAGTGCATAGAGCCAGTGAAATACCCATAGTACGTAATGAGTAAACAATATCAAGAACACACATGAGAACTCATGCCTCCACACCAGACTGTTTTTGGAAATTAATTCTTTAAGATTGAGTACATTAAGTTAATTATAATATGTTTTTCTTTGATGTTACCGTGTCGAAACATGACACCCGATCCAATAATATAGTGTCAGAACATGACACTTGATCCAATAATATATAGTGTAGAAGCATGACACCCGATCCAATAATACTTTGCCGGCTCGTGGCACCCGATCCAAATATGTTGTGCTGGCTCATGGCACCCAACCTAAATATATTGTGATGGCTAGTGGCATCCAATCAAAATATATCGTGCCGGCTTGTGGTACCCGATCCAACAATATAGTTAATTTATCATTCCATATCATTAGTTTTCACTTCATTAACAATATTTTATCAAACCTTCTGTATTCAAGGCATCACTTTGATAGACCAAGTTAAAGATTATGGATTTCGCGGTCTTGGGATTATAGACCAATCACAACAACATATAACTCACCAAAGCCACAACAATTGAGTACATAGAAAACTTCAAAATATTAATCAATAACTATTGATAACTTAAGAGTCTCTCTATCACATTGAATAAACCATAACCTACCTCGACCGAAGAACCGAAGTCAAGCAAGCTAGTTCCACAATGCTTTTCCTTTCCTCGGTGCGTCGGAACATTTTGCATCTATCAAGTATACAATATTAATAAGCAAACGAGTGTGTAGACACCCATATTACTATATTTCTAACCTAGACCCAATAACTCAGCCCAGTCATATATCAAATTCCTAAATTTTGTTATATACCAACTAATATATGAAGTCTCATATGTCTCAAATTTCAAGCCAAGGATTAAGTCAATTCCTCCAAATAATAATTTTAATGGTATTCATATAATACAATTAATATTTAATTACATATATCCTAATATATCAAAACATAACCTCACCCACGAGATAGAGTAAATAAAAGTGGAAAATTAATACATATCATCTTTGTTTTGCCAGTGATTACAATTGATATATTACTCTACCCCTCGAATCATCACGTCATTATT